CCTCTTATAAGAAACCTTACTGTGTGCATGCACCAAACTCTGACATCTCAGTTAATACCCGTGTACTCTGAAGCAGATTTACTTTCTCTCCCCCCGTGTGACTCGCCCATAGTATGACGCCATGTACCCCCTCAAACAGCAGCTCCCTCTAACTCTAACTCACAAAGTTCATTAAAAATTGGCCATATTAACGCTAACAGACTAAAAACTCACTTCAATGAAATAGAACTGAAATGTTCCCAAGATCAATTTGATATTCTAGCTATCTCTGAAACTTTTTTGACCTCACTAGATAATGATTCTGTTATTCAACTACAAGGATATATTACAAGGATACAAGGATGTCTTCCGAAATGATAGAGAGGGCAAGGGTAGGGGGGGGAGTATGCTCCTACATCCGAGACGATATTCCGGTCAAAATACTGAGCCGCTCAGACCCTATCTTTGATAATACGCCTGAATATTTAATATTAGAAATATCATTTCCGCACCAAGTACTTCTTTTTTCAGTTGTTTACAGGCGTCCTAGTAGAGCTTTCCCGAATGTATTCTTCTCCGTTCTAGCTTCATTTTTGCCTTCATATACAAAAATAGTCATCTGTGGCGATTTTAATGTTGATATAAATAGTGATACCTGCTTTACTCGATCTTTTAAATCATATATAGCTTTCTATTCACTGTTTTTAGTGCAATCTGAACCCACACACCATTCCCCTCGCTATGATTATTTTACACATACCTGGCTTGATCTGTTTATTGTCCATAGTTCTGATGCCGTCCTCAATTACTCAAAATCTGATTCACCTTTCATAGCCGGCCATGATTTTATCGAGCTCACCTTGATCTTGTTCAAACCACACCCGTATATTAAAAAATTTTTCGCACGTAATTTCAATAAAATAAACCTAAATGTTTTGACAACTGAACTTACAAATGCTTTCTCAAACTTTCATTTTCCATTTCTAGAGCCATTGGACGTGACAGATAGCACGCAAATCAATTTCGACTCTCTTATCTGTAATTTCTCCAACACTGTGCTGTCTGTCTTTGATTCGCTTGCCCCACTTCGACAGATCAGTTTTAAATCCTCTGAAAAACCCTGGGTTACACAGAAAATTCGCCTCCTTATGAAGCGTAGGAATGCTGCATATAAGCGGGCCCTGAGGACTCGATCTAAAAATGACCTCATTGCTTTCCGTAACTTGAGGAGAGAAGCCCGCAATTTCTTGGATACTACCAAAAATAGATATATTGCATCTAAACTGGATACTGCGGCTAACTCCAGAGCAAAATGGTCTGTAATCCGTAAGTCGGGCCTAACTGGCTCACGTCTACCATCCCCCCTATTACGCTTTTCGCCAAATGAACTTATCTCGTTCTACTCTGATGTTACATCTCTTGGAGCTCCTGTTTTACCTGAAGGTCTACAGCGCATTAAAAATATACCCCTTGATTTATCCAAGCCTATCTTTAATTTCTTGCCTATTGCCTCACACGACGTGAGGCGTGCTCTCCTTCGATGCTCTGCTCTCTCGGGTGGTACTGATGGGATATGTGCAAGAATGCTCAGGCTTGCTGCCCCGTGCATTATTGAACCCTTGAAATTGCTCTTGAACTTGTCTTTTTTAACAGGTACATATCCATCATCTTGGAAAAACTCATTAATTACCCCGCTCGCTTAATCCAAGACTATGAATTCACCTTCAGATACACGCCCCATCTTGAAGCTCCCCAAGCTCTCAAAGGTTTGTGAGCGCCTTGCCCATGCTCAATTATATACATATCTAGAAGAGAATGGACTGTTGGATTCACGGCAGGCGGGTTTTAGAAGGGGCCACAGTACCCAGACAGCCTTGCTTCGGGTCATTGATGACGTGAGGTTGGCGATTGACAGTCATAAAGTGACAATTCTCGTCCTATTTGATTACAGCAAGGCTTTTGATAGAATACCTCATGCCCGCCTACTTGAAAAATGACGTGACCTAAACTGCAGTGATTCTGCACTGGACTGGCTCTTTAGTTACTTGCATGGTCGCCGACAAGCAGTCAGGGATGATGGTGGGACCCTGTCTAATTGGTACCCCTCGTTGACCGGGGTACCTCAGGGTAGCGTGCTCGGTCCATTGCTCTTTCTCATTTACGTGAATGATTTTCCACGGGTGCTACAGCACTGCGCTCACATGTCGTACGCTGATGATACCCAGCTCTACTACTCATGCTATCCTGAGGACTTTCACCGGGCGGCTGGGTGTGTGAGTGGGGACTCTCAGGCACTGGCCGATTGGGTGACGGAAAATGGTTTGGATGCTAACTACTTAAAAATGTCTGCCTTGGTTCTTGGTAGTGCGGCGAATATCTCTCGGATAGACTCAATGGGAATACCACCCATAACAGTTGGTGGTGTCCCATTGCCTTACATGACTGAAGTAAAGGACCTTGGCTTGTGGTTGAACTCTACATTAAGTTGGGAGCGACATGCTCGTCATGTTTCTGCCAGTGTCTTTCGCTCACTTTACACGATCAAACATTGTAAGCTCGCCTTATCTTTCTCCATGAGAAAGCAGCTCATTGAGAGTCTTATTTTTCCACTCTTTGATTATATGTCAATAGCCTACCATGGCATTGCTGCAACTTCAAATCTCCTACTGCACAGAGCCTTAAATGGTTGTGTTCGCTTTGTATACGGTAACATTGGTTGGCAGTCCAGAGTGACTCCTTTTCGCATTCAGTTAAATTGGCTTTCTGTTTCCCGTCGTCGTGATTATTTCCTAGGCATCCAATCTTATTCAGTTTTAGCGCATGAATGTCCATCATATATTATGTCCCTTTATCGATTAACATCTAATTTTACAGATCTTAGACGGTCTACTCGTTTTCCCATGAATTATCTCATTATACCTTACTCCAGAACTGAATCTATGAGACGATCCTTTGCTGTTCAATCGTTGATTTTCATAAATAAACTTCATCAAACTGTATTTCACGCATCTAAAATAAATAGCTTTAAAACCTTCTTACTCATATTTCTTCTAAATCAAGATAAGAGTGAGTGGGAATCCGAAGCCAGATGTTTGCCTAGATTATAAATGTTAAAATTTCTATTGTTGCGTTTAATAATTGTATTTAATTTTCAAACATAGTTGTAACTGATTGTAATATTGCGTACTAATTAGTGATTATTTAATTTGATTTGATTTGATTAATGTTGTTATTGTGTATTGCTACATTGTTATATTTCCATGAAGCCATACGTGGTTGTACCTCCTGGCTTGAATAAAGACTTATACTATACTATACTATACCTCGCTTGCGTGCGCTTGAGCCAGCAGCGTGCCTTCTCTGATAAACTTGCACTGCTTCGCACGGGCCGCGCCCTTCTCAAGCGGCACCCACTGACATCGCTCGCAGCCTTCGTCCATACAGACAGCGTTCTGCGTGTGGGTGGTCGCCTCCAGCACGCCGAGACTCCGCCGAGATGACCTTCAAGGAGCGACACCCACCCATTCTTGACGGCGCTTGCCCTCTTGCCATGCTTACGATCACGTGGGCCCATCACCGTGCGCTCCACGGGGGCTTTCGCATCACCAGCGCGTACACCGTCAAGCGTGCTTGGATCATCGGTGGCTCCCGGAAAGTCAAGGCTTTCCTACGCAGTTGCGTTACTTGTGCTCGCCTCCAAGCCCGATCAGCTGTCCAGTTAATGGCTTTTCTCCCACGGTCACGAGTTACTCCCTTCCGCGCCATCGGTCGCACTGGGATCGACTACGCCGGGCCGTTCCACGTCCTCGCAGCTAAAGGCCGAGGCGTTCACACCACGAAGGGTTACATCGCCATATTTGTCTGTCTCACCACGAAGGCATTACATCTGGAGCTCGTAGGCGATCTATCAACCGTCTCCTTTCTTGCGGCTCTTACCCGCTTCTCTGGTCACCGGAGAAAACCGTCTGAACTCTGGAGCGACAACGCGACGTGCTTCCATCGAGCTGACACCGAGTTGCGCGACGCGCTCCGTCTTGCTGAGCACCGGTGGGACCTCGTCGCGGGTGCCCTAGCGGATCAAGATATCGAGTGGCATTTTATCCCTCCCCACCCAATCAGGATCTCGACCATCTGGCTCACTGGGAGATTGTCCGGGGCATCAGAGCACAATTCTGGGCCCGATGGAGTCGGGAGTATCTTAATACTCTTCAACAGCGATCGAAGTGGATCACCCCTCATCGGAACCTGATCTTGGGTGATATCGTCGGCGTCCTTGACTCATCTCTGCTCTCGACCGACGGCCGCTGGCCTCTCGGCCGCATAACTGAAGTTCACCCTGGCCCGGACGGCCTCGTACGCGCTGTTACCGTCCGAACGGCGACGGGAGAATACACCAGCCCTATCACGAAAGTCACATTGCTTCCGGTGATAACCCGGACCGACTCTCAGCCTGCATCACCCGGAGGCGAAACCGCTCTGGATACGGTGGGCGGGACTTGAAGTTTCGTTCCTTGAACGAGGTGGGCGGGATGTTTCGTTCGACGATATACTGTCGGTCGGGCCCCCCTCCTGATCGTCTCGGCGCTTCGTTACGCCGCTGCCGCTGGCATCGACGGCCTGTGCCGGGACCAGTTCAGTTCGTCTCCTGATACACAGGTTCACGCATCAGCTGGCCAGCTACACGCCACTGCCAGCTAAGCCACACCAGCAGCAGCCAGCAAGCCGCTCGAGACAGATGGTCCACCAACAATATCAGCAGAGCGTAGTACGCAGAAAGCACGCTATTCATTGTCACCGGGTCCGCTTCCCTTGTACTCAACAAATAAAGAGTTTCTCAAACATAAATGTTATAATATTGTTTTTTTCGGTAAAGGGAATTGTTCATCTTAGTAATTTTATAACTAATTTCATAGTTTTCGATAAGAAATTGTGGTTATACAATTCAAATATAGATTTAATACATAATTATTCAAATAATTTGGTATTCATACTGTTAATCTTTACTCGTTGATCATGACTGATTTAAATAAGGCATCGATAAAAATTTTTTACTATGGATCGTTGTTCTCAGTCCTCTTTTTAATTTACTAGAAAATCAAGTACAATTTAGTGCAGAAAAGTTAAAAATATAATTGAGGATGAGTAAGTAAATATATAAATAAAATTATCACACGTATGAAACAAAACAAAATGTAGTTGAACTCTATTTTCTAAGACAGAGATTTAATAATTTGAACATATTATTTGCATTTTTAACAGAATATAACTTTTTTCAGATTTGCTCATCTGTTACAATCTTTGTAAAGTATATCATAGTCCAAACGAAAGTAGCGTACGAAATGAAAATGGAAAAGAGAAATCACCTTTAAAAAAACAAATTTTAAATTGGGGTTGGCTTGGGGAGCGAAGCCCTGCTATTATATGTATGTATAATTAGGTTACATGACAAAGAAAGGGATAAACGTTCAACTTCGAAAATTAAAAGCTGAACTATTCTACTGACAGCGCTTACTGTTTTTTCAAGTGCTTACTGTACTGCGCTCACTCTACTAGAATAAGCGCTAATCTACCTCACTAATATATTTTGTTATCATTTGGCATATTCATGTGATGAATACACTAAACGCTAGACGCTGTAAACTATCATCTATTACATTAAACAAAATAAGTGATTTAAGACCAATACATACCATGTAAACCAAGATTTACTAAATAATGAAATCATAGAAAACAGAATAGAGCTTACTGTCTCACATAGCCATAAGTCCTTATGTTGCCATAGGTGCAAAAGAAACCGCTGCTGGAAGGCCAAACGTTATACATATTAATAGAGGAACTCTCCTGCAAATTTATCGTTCGTACCAGACATCACGATGAGTACAGGGTTATGTGGGAATAGCGTACTCTATTATTCTCAAGTATATCTCGTGGGACAGTAGTAAGGTCAAGGAACACATGTACCGCCTTCGTGCAACTGAACTGATTACAGCTCAGGAGGAAAAAAATTTCTTGATTCGTATGAATAATAGTATTGAAAATTGTGTTTCAACATATAGAATCACAATATAATAATAAAAATTGTCATTCATGTGCAGTATAGGTGACCGCGGTTACACTTTTTCACCAGTACTTTTGACTCCTATATGACTCCTATACATCACGATAAAAAGAATTAATCAAATTCCTTGTATCTAGACCGCTCATAGCAGAGTGGGTAAGAGCCTTGGCTAGTGTAAAAGAGGTCAGAAGTTCATATCCATTTGGAAACTTTTTTTTTAGAATTGGTTAAGGAAAAAGAAATAAAATAATAATTCAATAAAATTCCAAATGTGTGCCATGGCGTCCTGGGGTGTGGTGTGGTGTGGAGAGAAAAAGACGAGGGGTGGAACGGCGAGAATGATGGGGCAAAGGAAAAGTAACATGCAAAATCCACTTCCGTTACATGTTTTCTCAAGCTCGACAATCTGAAATCGTTAATTAACTATCGCGCATAACGTGCTGATCGTATCTTATCTTATTAATATATAAAGCAAAGTCGCAAAACCGTTGTAATCGCTAACAACAAAAACTACTTAACCGATCTTTCTAAAATTTTGCATACTGATTCTTGACTTTTTCTAGATAGTTTTGACGTAGTTTTTATCTCTAAAAAATTAATAAGAATAGCAATACCATCTCCTATGTGGCGTAAAAGTAAAGTTAAAGCTACGTAAAATAGAAGTAAGTGGGTCTGGTTATAATACCCCCGAGCAAATTAACGAATTGCATAGTCGTCTACCAACAGCGTATCAAAAACAGAGTTGAGAGCCGTACAAAAAATACACAGTTTTAAGGAGGCTTGAGCATTTGGTGTCTTGATTACTGTGGGGTACTATCCATGCAAATGATTATTCGTATTTTTTTTCACAATTATATTTATCACATAAGTAGGTCAACGAAATATCAATAATACGCCGAAAAGCTACAGGGAAATAGATATTTAAACATTGTTAGTTTTTCCGAGAGACCTTGTGTAAAGATGACGGTTCTGCTACGATAAAACTGACAACATCGTACTCTCTTGCTATCTTTTGCTATTATACACCTATACTTGTATTGGACTTGAATCTTTATGCATGTATGTTTATGTATGTACAACGCATGTGCACTTACAATACCTGAACAAAACAATTCTCACGTTTTCCTCACTGTTTTCTCAAAATTTAAGGTGTTGATCCTATTTTTTTTTAAAGTAATAGATTCTTTATAACTAAAAGTAAATGTGCCAATTCAACTTCTGACCCACAGCTTTTTGTTGCCGTACAATAGTCAATTTAATTTCAGGTTCCGTAAGGTTACGTGTTAAAATGACGAATTTTCACAAGCAATTTCATCGAAAATGAATGTGTTGACCTATCTATTTCTTTTTCAAAAGAAAATCTGGCGTACTTTGTTTGCATAATCTCTGAATTTCAGAGCTAGGCATCATTTAATTTAAAATCCCCTAGGCCCCTTAAGCGTCAAGAAACTGACGCAGAAAATTTATCAAGATTGAAACAGCAGAACCAAAATCAACAAATACAGAATCAATTAAGTGAGGGATCAGCTTTTCTTTATAACCCTTACAGTAACTTTCTAATTCTTCCAGATTTTAAAATAGGTAAAATAGTATGTATTGATATTTTTGTGGCCATAAAAAATAAAGAGATGAAGCTCCAGGACATTATTGCTCTGGTGATAAAGTTGTGAGACTGGAAAATGATTTCGTCTCATAAGTGCCATTGTCTCCGGTGCTATTTTACGGCCCGAGGAACCTACAGAGCAGGGGTTCTATCAAGGTGCATGAAAGTTTGCGCTTTTCGACGTATTTTTGTCACCTGCACATGTGCAGAAGTCAAATTTTGTCATCTGCGCATGCGCAAGTGTAAACTTTTGTGAACCTTGATAGAACTCCAAGGCCTGAGGTACATTTGGTACGTAAGGTAGCCACAGTGCGATGGCGCTGATGTGGTGAATCATATTTTTCCTACCAAAGGCATACCAGCATCTTAAGAACGCTCGAGACAGGAAAAACAATTTTTCGATTCTAAATTTTTTATCAGTTTTTAATCTTCACAGTTTTATGTGTACAATACTTGTTAACACAATACGGTGTTTTATTTAGTGAGTCTCAAGAGAAGCCGAGCCAAGGAGGGCCGCTAGTAGAAGTATAACTTCAAAAAATTGGTGCTTTTCTTTGCAACTAATACCGTTTGAAGGACATACTTAATAGTAGAATGGGCTTGTTTCTAGCATCAGGTGGCGCTAGTGTGCCCATGTAAGATTTCCATAGGAGTATACCTTTATATTGAATGAAGTCCAATTGAAATCCATTCAGTATATAGATATACTCCTGTGAAAATCTTACATGGGTACACTACCGTCACCTGATGCTAGAAACAAACCCATTGGTTTAGCTTCTCACCATCAGGGTGGTACTGCTTGTCACTTAATGCCGCAAATTACATTCACCTCCGTATGTACATTCTGAATAAAGGGGACAATGATCACCGTTATTCTCCGTCTTTCTATTATCGTGCCAATCGAGGTGCTGATCATCGTTCCTTTATCAATTTTTGCTCCTTGAAAAGTCAGTTGGCATATCTAAAATATTATTAAAAAAATATTATAATACGTTTTAAAATGGCTGTTATCAATGTATATATTACCGATGTCTTACGGCACATACCTTGATTCATATTTTTTTACTGGTATCCATTGGATGCTTTTCATTTTAGCTTTTGATTTCAGGGTTGGATTCGATATTATTCGGCTTCCTCAATTTTTTATTTTTGTCTTTTGTTTCAAAGTCTTCTGAAGAGCATATTAGAGTTTTTTCTTTTAATTTTTAATTTTTTTCGTCCTGTCAGCTTCGATACCTTTTTTTGTGACCATTTACATCTCTTTCTTTAGAAAAATATAAAGTTAAGTGCCAGGAAAAGTTTCAAATCATCCAATACCCTTTATTAGTATGTGTCACTGTGATGTTTTTTTAGCAAATTGGGCAATTCACGCAAGCTATAAACATTAGGGTATTAACATTAAAGTCTACGATTATAGTGCTTTTATTCGTTTCTACTTTGTCTTTACTCTTTAGATTATCATTCACTTTGACAATCACATTTTTTTACTTTAGTATATACTTTTTGACAATGTTCACCACACTCGTCTTGCATTGTTTTGTCTGAAACATCACTATTTTGTTTTTTCCACTGTCCTCAGAAGTTTGGT